GGAGAAGGAAATCTAGCCCAATATGTAAGCTTTATGTCCCACACAAGCTGATTAAAGTTATATTACTTCCCCGCCTGCTCACTCTGCTAAATTTTTTATTGCTTCATGCACCCACAGGACTGTAAATTTTCTTTCTCTTTGCACCTAGCCAAGTGACTCAGCAGCAATTTGGCTAGGAAAGGGAGACATTTAGTTTTCTGTCACTACTACAGGTTCAGGTCATAGACCACTGAGGTCCATAAACAGAGATTGTTGTCGCTTTGTGTCCCCACATGAAACTTTAACAGGCTAGATCTTTGTGTTGAAATAAAAGTAATTTTTTCTCCCTCAAATAAGCTACTTTAGTGTATAATATTTTAACAGTTACATTGATGCTAGATCTGTCGAAAGTCCAGTAAAGCTTTGATTCTGTTCTAATATTTTTTCCCTGATTGGATGGGAACCCTTTGACACTTTTCTATTAAAAAAACACAACATGAAACTTCATCATCAGGGCTTGGGCAAATGACAGCTGTTCTGACAGAACTCTCATAATGTCAGAAGAGGACATCCTAGGCATCCACAGCATAGTAGACATGGTTATGTCATCCCTAATATCGCTAAACGAATGCATCTAGACTACACACTACTTCTACAAGTAAACTGTATCATTTTACTGGTATTGTTATAATTTCTATTTACTGATATTAAACAAATGAAGGAGTTCACATGCAAAAAACATTTAAGATAGCAAGAATATGAAGAAAATGTGGTTTTAAACACATTTTGCAAAAGCACAAACAGCAGAACTGCTACAGTTGTTCTGAAAAGCTCTTTTAATTACTTTCATGAATATATTAATCTACCAATTGAGTACCTAGTCTGTGAACAGTAAAAGGGGAATTACCTCATTTGTAATGCAGGAAGAAAAATACCATTTGAATGATCCTACTGTGAAGATACATGTATCAACAACTTCTGTTTTTAAAAAACCCTGAAACATACTGGACAATTGCAATTAATGCATTTGCAAAATCCCTAAGTCTTCCTTTAGTTTTTGCCCAGAAAAAGTGCACATTTGTCAGATTTATTAAATGTGATGAAGAAGTCAAGTAGGCCTCTTATGAAACCAGTGGGAGACAGATCCAAGGGGTCCCAGAGAAGAAAAGCAGGAAAAGAAAAACCTAGAATCGAATTGCACAGTATTTGAATACTATCCTATCATTGACCTCATAAAATAAATGCAAACACACAAACAATTTATAGGTAGCTTTCACAAAGACCTAATTTCAAAGGCTACTCAGCATGTCACCTGGTTATTTAACAAAAATCCCACCATCTGTTCCTGCCGGAATGATTGCTTACTAGCTAACCTAATCTGTTTTTGATCTGCAATCTTATTCTTTCAAAAACATCATATTTTGCCAGAGAAACAAGCTTTAGTCCATAAACTAAGGAGAATGAGGGCTCAGAAGCAAGTTTACCACAAAACATAGGGGAATGTGGGTCTTGCATAAATACACTCACTTGAATTAGGGAAAAAAAAAAGTTTCATACTCTAAAATCAATCTGTGGGTGCAATGTAAAAAGGAGTATTTGTAATATACAGCTATGAGTTAGGTTTAAACATTCTGCAAATGGTGAGTCTAACAGCTGCCCTTCATTTTCGGTTAGAAGTCAGATCCATTTTGGATCTTTGATGGAACCACACAGCTCAGAACAACAGACACGTGGTAGAGGAAGGAAGGGTGTTACTGTTTTGCCTGCAGGAAGGGGAGAAGATAGGAGAAGCCTTGCTTCAGTGAAGGGGAAACAGTACGATGCTAGCCATACTCACAGTCTGGTACTGCCAAAAGGAGAAAAAGGAGAGAGAATTCTTGGGCCAAATTCTGGTTGGAAAGGAGGTAAAAGTTGTAAGCCAAGAAACTCTTTCCTGTTGTGTTCAAAGAACATGGATCATGAATTTCTTTTTTAAAGACTCTTGACTCAAAAAAAAACCCACCCACAACATAAATTTTAATTCAGTCAAATGTAAGCATGAATCTGAAGTTAAAAACAAACTGTCTTGCCAAGACGGGAGGGGCTAATGAATTGAGATTTTAGTCAGGATCCCAGCCACCTCAGTGGTTAAGTGGCTGAGCAGCAGTTGGTTTCAGTTCTTGTTAACACTTATTTCTCTTTATTAATTGAGATGCATTCTTTCTATTTAACCTCATTTTGAATGAGAGATGAAAACTGTTAACTTTGAGTACTTGCTGCAGGGCAGTTTATGCAGAAAATGTTGAAATTAAACCTCTTGGGAGCTGATTTCAGGAAACGGGTAGCAGATTACAGCAACTGGTGGGAAATGACAGAACGTTAATTTTCCTTTCCAAACGTACTGTGAGAAAGACGGAATAAGCTTCTGTGAGAACATGGAAGGTCAAATGACCGAAAAGATTTGATATCAACACTTAGTACTTAACCTGCTGGAAGAATTAGGAGTGTGCAATAAGGAGCACTGCACTGCAATGTGTTTCCAGACTACAGAAGTATTATGTCCCTGACAGCTATACAGCAGTCCTTCTATCTTATAGCTACATTAAAATGCTCTGTCTCACTCTACAATACTGACAGCTGTATAAAATCTAAAAGAAACCAGCAGTCACCTGTCACAACATCTTTCAGTGCAGCACACACTGATTACCAGGCACTCATTAATTAGCCCCACTTTGTTTGAAATTACAGAATCACAGAATCGTTTAGGTTGGAAGGGACCTCTGGAGATCATCTAGTCCAACCCCCCTGCTCAAGCAGGGTCACCTAGAGCATATTGCCCAGGATCACATCCAGACGGGTTTTGAAAATCTCCAGGGAAGGAGACTCCACTACCTCTCTGGGCAACCTGTTCCAATGCTCAGTCACCCTCACAGTGAAGAAGTTTTTTCTCGGGTTCAGATGGAAAAATTCTCCCTAATTGAGTGCTTGCTGCTTTTCCGTTTGTGATAGATAGCAATTTTGCTAGCAACCTTAAGAATAAAATATCTGAACACTCTTTAATTAGCATATTCATACTGTATCAACACACTGACCCTTTTCATTGACTCTTGCTGTAAAATGCCTTCATTAGTTATGTTTTAATGGATTTGGTTTTAAAAGTTCAGCTTTTAAACAACAGGAAACACTATATCCAATGGCTTTTATTTTGAGGTCTTTGAAAAAAAATTAATTCTTTTTAGCTGTTTAGCACATCAAGACATTCTTAACAGAATTATATTGGATTATCATAATGCTGCAATAAGCTCTGATTTTTTCCACAGAAAGAAGGAACCAAAACACTGATTATACCTGCAGTAACAATACAGTTGTCTTATAATACTGTAGGATCTAGTAGGTGCGCAGCTAAAATATATTTTAATAAGGAGGTGGAAAACTGTTTAGTGTTTGGGAGTGGTGGCTGCCACAGATCCAAACAACTCACAGGCATCAAGACTAGCCCTTACAGTAACTTCCATGCACTTTGATATTGGGCCTAACTCACTACAGCTTTTTTAATATACCTGCTGTAATAGCTATAGACTAACTCTTACTATAATGGTATTTCAGGAAAGGTCCTTCTGGATTATTTTCTTAGCTGTATGAAAGCACATATTCTATAAATAGTCTGAAAAAAAAACCCAAAAAAGAAAAAAAAACAAAAATACATGTTCTGCAGAAGTAAAAAGAGCTGCAACTCTGTAAAAACAAAGTGAAAAAATACAAGCAATTCCAGCATATTTAATAGACATTACTAATAACCAATGAATAAAAAACACCCATATACCATTACCATGATGAAATCTGTTAGATCACAAGTTGCTTCCATGGAAGGGCCCAACATGTGTTATTATCAACTGCGATAGATACAGGAGTAGATCCTACTTTTGCTTTGCCTCTGTCCACACTGTATCCAGAACAGCAGCTTATCTCTTAGTTTATGGATGGTTCAGAGTACAATTCAAACTATTGCTGCCTGTCTCAAGATTGATTAAAGGCAGGCTAGAAAGGCCATCAATTTTCCAAAAGGACTGTTTTCCAAAATGAGTTATTAATCTCAGCCATTTTAGAATTTTCCCAAGCATCATACTAAATATGCAGCATGTTAAATTTAACTTTCGGTATTCCATAAAAGCCTACCATGCTACTTCTTGAATTCAGAAATAGAAGAAAAAATTCACTCACTTAATCTCCTTGGTACAGATGCTGCACTCTTGACCTACAAAATGCACTTGTTATCATGTGATCCTCCAAACTCAGTGATCTAAATTATACACTAGTCCCTTTTTCCTCTTAATATGTTTAAATTAATTTTTAAAAATTCTTTTTATATATTGGTAGCATATAGTGACTTCAGTAAAATCTGTCTTCCTTAATTTTAGTTCATAGCATTCCTGAAGCTTGGAAAGTTGTTTTAGTAGCTCATGTTCATTTCACATTGGGTCCTTGAACTAAAGTTCTAGTGACTATTTATTAGTCTGAGATATTTAATTGCTAATTGCGTTTTAGGAAAAAAGACAAATTAAAAATGATTAAAGAGTCAAATATTAGCAGTGGATTAATAAAAATCACTTGACAGAAATGTATACTGTCTTTTCTCCCTTTCTATTTTATAAATGTGCAGTGTAAGCAATAACTGCTACATATTCTCCAATTATTTTCTATATCCTTCATGCTGTACCCTCCACTCCTTGCAGCTATAATTGCACTATTTGACGAAACGCAAGTTCACAGTGGTCAGCGACTCTAAAATTTCTAACTATATGCAAAGTGAAAAAGTATACTTTGCTAGAATAAATATTTAACAATACTGACATCTTCGCACAGATGAACCATGTATCGATACAAGTAATTTCTCTAGAGAAAACAAACCTAAACAATTTCTGTTTTAACAGTCGTGATGAGGTTACCATCATCATTTCTAACAGTAGCTCTCCTTCATCATAACAAAATCCTTGAAATCAGAAGGGGTCTCTTCACCTAAAAGGAACAACCCTTACACCTACCTTTTAATATGAGAGTTGATGCATCAGAGGATTTGTCAGGAGCGTCTCTTTAAAACTTGCACTAGTTCTGCATAAAGTTCCAGAAGTGCTACCTGGAAAAGATGCTGAATCTGGATTTACTGTTACTGCTTTTTTCAGCTTGGATTGTGCAGAAACAGAGATCAAGGCTTAATTACTCTGTAACTTAGTCATTAAAGTATTGGAGGTTCGTTCTTCTTGCAAGTGCTGGCACCACATTACAAATGAATTTATGCACAAACTTTGCACTTTGTGCTCATGGTAAATCCACATACTGACAGTTCACAGATGTACATTCAACGTACTCTTTCAACGTACATTCAAGATGTACTCTTTCAACGCTATACTCTTGGAAGTTAGCAATTCCTTCTATTTAAACGAAAATTTTCCCCCTTTCCTTTCAGAAACAAACAAATAAACAGGAGTTCAGTGGTTTCTATAAAACTCACTTAGCTTGAAAGAGGTAATTTAAAGGTCCTAAATTTGTCCAGCTGCACAGGTCCCTAGCCTTGGTGGTCAGACATCCAGCTGCATGCACTCCAGCTCTTAAACCAACACCGTTCAAGCGAACCTCTGTCACTTCTTTTAAAAGCCAGGGATATGCCATTTGAAAACAACATCTCACATTGGATATCTGTGTATCCTGATGTGTGCAAGTAGGTGTAATGGCGTTCAAGCACACATTCACAAACCTGTGTTTGGGAATCAGATTCCACTCAGTGAGCATGCACTGCTCTGACCCAAATATTTTATATAATTTCAGGCAGATAAGTTTAAACTTGTTCCAGACAAGGATATCTTGGATGTGCTCCAAACCATGAACCTGAATAATAACCATGTTTGGATTTAAGGTCACTAATGATGCTTTTCCCAGCCCTAAACAATGAGGTGTTTGGGATTTTTCGGTTTTTTCTTGGTTCATACAATAGTTCTTCCACGGGTTTGCTGTGCTTCTAAGGAAGTGGAGTGGAACTGGCTTTTTCCTGCCGCTGTTTCCTGCTTGGCTGGGATCTCCCTTTCCACTGGGAAATGGCTTATGTCCCTGTCCACGGGCCTGTGCCTTGGCCTGTCGGCCGACCCGCGAGGGCTCCCGAGCTGCCC